CGCCCCTAAGCCCCCTGGGGAGTCAGCCCCACCATTTGTACAATTTTTAATCACCACCACCTAGGGATGCTTCCAGTCAAATATGGTTGATATCCATTTCTTAGTTTCAGAGAAGAAGTCGCTTAAAGCAATATGGGCAAATTGACCCCTTTTGGCCCCGGCCCTCAGCCCCCTGGGGGGTCAGCCCCACCATTTGTACAATTTTGAATCCCCACCACCTAGGGATGCTTCCAGTCAAATTTAGTTTAATTCCAACCAGTGGTTAAGAAGAAGAAGTCGTTTAAAGAAATTGTTGACGTACGGACGGACGACGGACGCCACGGTATGGCATAAGCTCACCTTGGTCCTTCGGACCAGGCGAGCTAAAAATGTTTGTAAATAGAATACGTAATTCTATCAAATTTGTGTTTTATGACTATGGTACCATCTGGGTTTGTGTATACATTAATTTGTATGAAAACAAATTTTATTTTCTTAATATCTGGTCAAAAATAAATAAAAATTATACAAGTCAGTAAGCATTAGTATTTTCATGTTCAATCTTCAGATACTTAAAGGGACAATTTAGTGAAGTAAGGTTTTTTTATAACCTTGTCACAAAACTCTTCATGATTATATGGTTTGATACTTTCTATGAACAATTCATGTCGAGAAATTGACAAGCGACAATGTTTTCTTGGCGTTTTTAATCAGTAATTGAGAAATCCTTAACTGTACAGCCATATGTTTTAGCGGCAAACAAAAATGTCTTTCCAGCCAAGGAGAGGAGGAAACTTCTCGCTTTTTTTGTCTAGCCTCTCTGAATACAAGTATATGCATCTATTTTGAATCAAACTCATCTTCCAACAGCTTCTATAACATCGTTATAAATGAGTGATCTATTTAACGTTTAAACCTATTGATATCATACTTTCTGCGGTTTGAAATTCTCCCTGCGGCACCCTCAGTGTGTGCATGCTCTAACTGAACCTGTTCGTTATTATTCAAATCCAAATGTGAACAGAAATATCTGATTAGAGGTAAATATTATGATATTTATAATTCTTACTTGCGATGAGTTATGTGCGAAGTCAGACTCACGTTGGTTGACAGCGTAGTGTTGTACAATGTTTACTTCTCACTGAAGCCCGGATATTGCACTATATTGGTCGTAACATTTTTCATCTCCGGCTTTCCCAAAAGATGAAACTGACCACACTGGACATTGGCTTCAGGGCATGTCATTATCAACTGCGTAAACTTTCGTTAGGAGATATATATTTTCAGTATCGACTTGATTTTCAGGTAATCAACAAAAATTACTTCATTAAATTGTCCCTTTAACAACATGGTCACAATAACATTATATAATGACATCATAATACACAAAGGGAGGTAAATGCTATTTTTAAAAGGCTATTTAATTTAGGTTTGAATAATTTGAATGACACTTTTCTTTCTCTTTGTGTTCAAAAATGGTGTCCCTGTATATTTTAACAAGAGCTGTAGGAGAACAGCATAGCTTGCCTATTAAAGTTATTTTTGTAAAAAGTGCTAATAGTAATTGGGCCATTACAGGATGTCCCATCTTAGATAATAGATCAGGAAACTAGAACTACATTGTCGATGGCACACTCCCGCTACCCCCCCAAAGTAACCCCCATTCCAGATTACCATATGCAAAAATAAATTACTGTAAAATGTAGAACTCATGGTTATTTTTGATTTGATATGCTAAAAAACCATACAATTTTTTTTTTACCCCCAGGACTCCACCCCTCTGGCCCGGTCCCTAGGGGTCATATCAATATTCTTAAAGCTTGGTGCACTTCCCCATACGTATATCTACCATGTCTAAAAGTTTCAAATTCCTATTTCAAACAGTGTAGAAAAAGTTAATTTACCCCTTATCCCTCAACCAACGTGACCCTGTGATTTGATTTTTCTACGTTCTGAAGTATGTATATGCTGTTTATGTACTCAGAGCCCGGCTCTCAAATGAGTTCCTGTTTCTCCTCTTGAGTACTCTTTGCAGTCTAAATTTTGTGTATTACATGACATTGATAAATTTATTAAGAAGTTCTTTCCATTGAAACAGTAGGATCCTCTTTCGTCATGTCTTCACATGTGCCACGTCTTGATTCATTATATTTGCTGATATTAAAGTTATCATCTGTTTGTAATTTTTATTTGCATAATATTCATTTTAGATTCTTTTGTTTTCTTTCACTGTTTATCACTCTTGACTTATCTAATACCCAATTCATTTTCTGGTCTTTGATCAAGATTTGGTTGCGATTTTTTCTCGTTGGATACATATAAACATTCCTTAGATTATGAGTAGTAACCAGTGGTATCATTCTACTTATTTTGGTGTGTTTTCTGGTAAACTGAAGTAATGTTTTCCTGTCTATTTTCAGTGATAATTTAATCTGTCTATGATAATACCTCAGGCTCACAGGTACTTTTGTTCCAAATACACACATACTTGTACAGCTTCCACTTTTCGAAAGTATATCTTTTGAACTCCTCTCCACACTTTTTTACGATCTGACGACATAATTCCCATTACTATCGCTGTTCCCTTGATCTGTATAAAATGTTCATTTTTGAAGGAAAACATGTTTATATTTAGAATAAGTTCCATTGCATTTAAAAAGAAAAAACGATAGTGTATATTCCCGGTATTTTTATCAATCCAGTATTCTATAGCTTTTAATCTGTTATATTAGTGTTTAATCTAAACTGGTGTGTTGCATTAGTGTTTAATCTCAAGTGGTGTGTTATATTAGTGTTTAATCTCAACTGGTGTGTTATATTAGTGTTTAATCTCAACTGGTGTGTTATATTATTGTTTAATCTAAACTGGTGTGTTATATTAGTGTTTAATCTCAACTGGTGTGTTATATTAGTGTTTAATCTTTACTGGTGTGTTATATTAGTGTTTAATCTCAACTGGTGTGTTATATTAGTGTTTAATCTCAATACATCAAGTGCCACTGATTCGGTGGTGCGGTTCAATTTTTCTGGTAGGTGATTAAGAAAATCCAGATGATAAAACTTCTGTCTGGGATGTATCCATGGTGAAAGTTAAGTTGGACTAGGACTTATAAATTCTAAGATACATTACCTAACACACAGCTCAACTAATGGTAAATGCTAATAAGCATTGCTAATTTTCAAGTACAAAGTAAAAAGGTTACGAAAATAGAAACGAAAATCTATTGCATATGGAAGTTATTCCAACTGGAAACTGTTCATGCTTCCAATTTCACCAATTAGCATAACTAGGAACCAATCGTGTTGTGACATCAAATTCAACCTTTAACAGAAATTCCTTCCTTGTTTATAATGGACGTTTGTCAATGGTTACCACTTACCGCTAAAAACAGTTTATTTAAAATTGCATGAGCAAAAACAAACCACCTAGGAATATAAAATAAAATGTCTTTCTTGTTTTGAATGTCAATATAGAAATTGAAATGGATACTCTTTATACAATGAGGGTATGAAATGGATACTCTTTATACAATGAGGGTATGAAACGCAGTTGCATTGCTTTACATGATATGGTAGTGATGTTTGTAAACAACTGATGGTGGCATAGCATACACATGCATATGTATGCTTGTATGCTTAAGCATACACTAAATTTTTATTTATTTCTTTTTCAATTATGTATTTTTATTTATTTCTTTTTTATGATTAATATGGACCGTCAGTATCAATTATGAAAAAAAAGAAATAAAAAAATCTTCTTCAAAATTTTAGTCAGAAGGAACATATACCGTATTGTCCTCAGATAATTGTTTTAGGTCCTTTCAGTCTTAATTGAATTAAGTAAAATTAAAATAAATTAAGTAAAAAATTTACTTGTTAATAATTAGACTAAAAGATGTTCACAGAACACGGGAGATTGCTTCTAAGCATACACTCCAAAAAATGTTCTGCTGCACCACTGACTGAATTGTATAAGGTCATACATCGGAGATATTCCATATCTAATTTAGTCAATATCCATTCCATTGTTTTCACAGATTGACGACAAACAGGTGGCAGGTGATGCAATATGGAATAAGCTCACAGGCTAGGTGTTAGGTGAGCTAAAACAAAGGCACTAGGGCTCAATTTTTGAAAACAAAAAATGGTTGAAATTCTTGTACTGCAGGAGTAGTAGACTTGATTAAGTTTTGTCAGCTGAATCAACCCTCTTACATAACTCGTTTTGTAGAAAAAGAAACAGTATTGCAGTCACACAAGCAAAGCTTTGTTTTATCTGTAAAATGGTGTTAAGTTAAAAAAAAATCAGTGTAGTACTTTAAAAGGATTGGCCTGAAAAAAAATAGTGTGTCGACAGTAAGAAGGCAGAGCTGACAGACGATCTGATTCCAGTACCCACCCCCTACATTAAGGGGTATAACCTTCATCAATATAAATTAGCTGTCAGAAATGAGTCCTGCTAAGTACGAATGGAGATGTTCCTACCTTGCTGTCATGAGTCAGGTCCAGGACTTCTACATGGCTTGGAGATTCGTAGGCTGCAGAGTCAAATAATTAAGAAATTAAAAGCAGCCATGTCATAAAATTGTTTTTGATAATACATGTGACGTCTTTGACTCTTGCTGCCGCATAAACAAGATATACTTTGGAAGGAAAATGGTTTTTATCCAATTAAAAATGTGTTTCTGCTGATTGTTTTAATTTCAAAGCATGACTGAAGTGTACGTTTTATGCAGTAAAAACAGATGTATTGCATACAAATGGTATTATATGATAAATCAATCTCATTGTGTTTTTATATGTTCCAAAAGATGGGCCTTGAGATAAACTGGGGCACTAGGTTTCTTTGTCTGGTAAACAAAGGTCTATATAATGTTGTATTTTGTATAGGATCTCTGACAGGAATTGTCTACCTTTGATGAGGGCAGGCTTGGTGTCATTTCCCTCCTTTTTCTTGTCAGTGTCAGAGGATGAAAGATCCATAGTCGGGTTGTCCTTGTTGTATGAGGACAGAAAAAAGACTTTCTCAGCGCTCGGGTTTGGCCAGGACAACAGGCCCTTCTTGTCAACACAGCACAGGGACTGAAAAATAGCAACACAGAGATCAAGCCAGCAGTAGAAATGAAAATAGCAAGTAGCAACACAAGTTATCAAATTAATTAACTCAGAGATGTAAAAAGAAAAAAAAAGGAAAACCAGGTGGACTGACAACAATCAGATGATATGTATTAAATTTAGTCCATATGCTAATCAGCTGGTTTAGACCTGTGTCTATTAAAGGATGTTGGACATACTATGTATGACACATGCAGCCCCATTTCTACGTCTGTGTATTACCAATGGGTAAGATTAAATAAGTTTACACAGAATAAGGAGAGAAAAAACACAGAATAACTATAATGTGAAATATTTATTAACTAAAATTTTAACCTACAAACTAGCATTGAACATATCTTCAATAAGATTCATCAGTTCGGAAATATGTGATATCAAATTTTTACTTTTTACACAGACAATGTACGTACTAAACATGTCGCAACGTTTCAAGACCAACTGGATCCTTTGTCAAGCTATGACTGATGACTGAGCTATGACTGATGACTGAACTATGACTGAGCTATGACTGATGACTGAGATATGACAGAGCTATGACTGAGCTATGACTGATGACTGAGCTATGACTAATGACTGAGCTATGACTGAGCTATGACTGATGAGACTGAGCTATGACTGATGAATGAGCTATGAATGATGAATGAGCTATGACTGATGACTGAGCTATGACTGATGACTGAGCTATGACTGAGCTATGACTGAGCTATAACTGATGACTGAGCAATGACTGATGACTGAGCTATGACTGAGCTATGACTGATGACTGAGCTATGACTGATGACTGAGTCAGTCATAGCTTGACAAAGGGACCAGTCGGCCTTGAAACGTTGCAACAAGTTTAATACGTACATTGTTTGTGTAAAAAGTAAAACTTTGATATCAACTAGCATTTAACTGTTGTCTTTCTGTATAATGATGACTAAGTTTCATCAAAATCAAGTAATATTTGATTACATTATTGTGTAAAATCACCCACTAAACAGAGATAGTGCACCAATTCTGCTTAAATTAAACTCAACCTAGGAGCAACCTAAGTGTTTGTAATTTGTTAGAATATTTATCATGAATTTCATCAAGACAGGACCATATTTCAACAAGTTATCATTCTGAAATGATAAATGGACAAATGGACTGGTGTTCATTATATACATTTTCTTTTGAAAAAAAGAAGCTTTTTTAGAAATATATATATGTGTTTGTATGTTTTGATTTACAGATAGGAAACTTCACTGTTGAATTAACTTACTTTCATTTACTAGCTTCTGTGTAAAAATGTAAATATTGAAGTCCTGTCCACAATACAACCTGATAATTATTGTAAATAATTTAAGACAGTACATATAAGAGGACTTCTATATATCAGTGATGGCTGATAACAGTACAAGGGATAACAATGCTGAACATAACAATATGAGACGCGATGGTGCTACTTATGTACATACGGTGACAGAGCCAAGGATATGGGAGATGTTGACTCGTCGTGTGGGTGCAGGGGCACGACCAGATAACACAAGCCAGAACCAGTCTCTGACCAGTGTCCAGTCCATGTTCACTCTTGCCTCATCCACAGATATGGTACTGTTGGTGCTGAAGCTGTCCTCACAGGTAACCTTAATGGAAACAGTGTAGATACGTATTTGAATAAAGCAATTTTACACAAATATTATCAAAGGTTATTCATGATTTGAAGATAAAGAATAATAATTTATTTCATATGTAAAATTTCATCTGTAAGACCAAATAGTAATGTTTACATCCCGGTAATACACATTAAAACATTTCAACTAAACATTTTCAATACAATAATTAAATGAAGCACTATTAAATCTCATTTTAATGGTCAAAGGGACACAACTTTGTCACTGTAAGAAGTAAAATATTTCAACTAATGGAAATAAAGTAAAGTAAAAAACTGGATATAATGCCACTTGTTCCATTTGCCACCTTGCTTCATGACGACATATTTCAAAGTCTCTCTTCCTTAAGAATTTCTTTATATAATTTCTGCAATTTATTGCAAATCTCCAATATAACTCCAAAATTTCTCTGGACAAATGGTGGCAGTTTCGGCTAGCTAGGCTATCATGTTTCAGCCAGATGTCATCAAAACCAGTAGCCCTTAGCTAGCCTGAACCTGTGAACTATAATTAGTCTATGGAATCAGACATTGCTGCTCCTTCTTTTCTATTCTTTATATTACATTATTACATTATAAGTCATAATGTGTTGCTGTAATATTGTATGTTTACATAATTGTTAATACAATGAAGGGAAAATAACACTTGATTAGAGAAAACTAAAGTTGAAGGTCCTTTTTACTGGGAATGAGAACTAAAGTTGAATGGAAATATGACACATACCTTTGTATCCTTGGAAACACTGAATACAGCAAAGACCCGTGCCTGGCCGTAGAAGTTGAGGAGACGCCAGGCCAGAGGGAACAGTAAGGGAAGTAATGGGAGCAGGGTGTGACTCTAGTTAGGATGAAGCAACAACATGTGAAGGATATAATTACAAAATACACTACAGCATGTAAATAACAACGAAAGTCAATAAATCAGTAATTAACAAAAGGTCAATTAAAGAGACCCTCCTTTGACATAACATTGCTTTTCCAAACAAAAGGTATTTATACTAAACTGTACCTTCATTTAGTAAATACTAATGAAGGTTCTCCCTCACTGATTTATGTGAGAAACATATATTTTTATTCTCTAAACCATTAAAACGATGTTCAAGAAGAAAGTCAAAGTACACATGGCTACTCATATTAATTTTTAAATATGGACCTCATGATGAGAATTCAACATTTCAGAAGAAATAACCTGAGTTGAGACATACATCCTATACAGTTCTGTTAATACCCGGAAAATTTGTTAGCCAGCTTTTTATTTTCAAAGTGTTTTAAGGAGAGAAAGGGCATACAAAATGAATATTTAATCAATAATGACATTGTAAAATGTGTGTACCTCAAAGCTTTTTAAACCCATGAAAATTACTGGAAGCCATCATAATAAAGAGTCCTTCCTTAGAGGGTGGGTCTACTTTATATATAAGGTGACAATTATTTGTGTCCCACCCAAAAGGAGTAACTTACATGAAAGGTGAACAGGTGACAACGAGAACAATAACAGGATCATTTATATTCCAGTGGTGAAATTTACAGGTAATTATAACACAATGATTATTTGTGTACTACAGGTGAAAGTTACAGGTAATTATAAGACAATGATTATTTGTGTACTACAGGTGAAATTTACAGGTAATTATAAGACAATGATTATTTGTGTACTACAGGTGAAACTTACAGGCAAGATGAGGATCATTTCTGCCCAATGTCCAGAGTGACCTTTGAGATACACCAAGCGCACAACATTGGTGATCAACACCAAAATCTGAAAAACAAAAATAAAAGCATTCGCTGTGACAGGAACAATGTGAACATGTTATCAATTGGTTTCCATTCTTTTTTTGCAAAAATAAAAGATTTCAGAAGAAATTAGAGATATGTTATAAACCACAATGTTAAATATTCACTGTAAATTATAACCTTTTCAGTCTAGACATCAACTAGATATTTCATATGTATTCACACACCCAATCATCACCAGCAACACAGCTAAATGTGAAATCTAAAGTAAAACAACAGCCAGGTTGAGATTTTGAGGCCCCATTAATTGCTTCATGAATTTCAATCTATTTACTTAAAAACAAAAATCATGAAAAATTCACTTTCTTAAATAATCAACAACAAGTTCACAACTTTTGATAATGGGATGCTTTAATTTAAAGCTGTGAAAAACTGTAAGCTAGGTTCAACCAAAACAAATCCATACCCTTTATTATTACACCTCATCTACACATCAGAGTGTTCATAACATAACAGGGAAACAAAATGTTGTGCTTCCATCTTGTGCTCACATTTCCCAAATCCTATTTCCTTTTATTGAGAGACTCTCTAGAAAAAGTTACAAAAGGCACCCCACTCGAGTTCCTAATGACTGAAGTTGACGACCATAATGGCATGGCAACCTGATCATCCTTATTGTTTTGTTAATGTTCTATATCCGTATATTAATATATTTATTGTCTGTGTGGTAAGGGAAACATGATTCTTCTTCTTCCTTGATTTATCATAAATATTTCACTTTGGCTTCATTCTTGTGAAACATCATCAATCTTGGGGAAACAAAGAATTGTGTTTCCCAGCTACAAATGATATAATTATATCAAGTGCTTATAATTCACAGTGGTTATAGCTTTGTTAATATATTTGCAACCCGGAAAAAGGTAAGAGAAAAGTAAAGTCTTCATTTAGCCTCTATGATACCTTCCCTTTCATGTGGACTTGTATAATGACCTAAAGGCAACAGGCAGAATTCTGTGCTTTAGCTAGATTGAGAAGATGACATACCGTAACTATGTTACTCACCAAGACAACAGACAGAACTCTGTGCTTTAGCTAGATTGAGAAGATGACATACCGTAACTGTGTTACTCACCAAGACAACAGACAGAATTCTGTGCTTTAGCTAGATTGAGAAGATGACATACCGTAACT